ACACACACACACACACACACACACACACACACACACACACACACACACACACACTTGTGAGCGTGCACACGTACAACACATTGATGAAGCGGCTCCGTGCCTCGAGCCAAAACATGTCCAATGGAACACTGAGCACATCACATCAATTCACAGCAGCAGAACCAGGCAAATTAAATACAGGAAATACAGCAGCCACCAAATACACCTGGACAAGCAAACGCTGCACGCTCCCCTGCTCTCTGGGCCTGGCACGGGCCCCACAGAGCAGCAGAGGGTGCAGTGGTGTCGGACTGGAAGGGCAGTAGCTGGACAGACCCCCGCTACTTCCCCCCATCCCCAGACCTCAGGCCCATCATATCCACACCAGGTTTACTGCCACATGTGTCGCTCCATCCACCACACACTCTGACAACTCATACACATCCACAATGACCCATTTATGGGCTGAGTCTAACTTCACATGGCACTTCCATTCTAACTTACAGGTATTAGTATACAGTCAATTCTATTATTGTTTTAATAATAGTTGTGTGTGTGTGTGTGTTCTCTTCAAAAGACCAAAGTCTGGTTTCTTTGATTAGTGTGAAATTTGTTGTGAACTAAGGACTGAACCAAAGAACCATACTCAAGTTTGGGTATTTGCACAGATTTCATGAACTGAATTACGATTCACAAGCTCTTGATTTATTTCAGTTCAGATTTTGGTTCGCTAACGATTCGAATTATATAATTATTTCTAGTCCAACTTATTGTTGGAATTTGATTGTCATAACTTTTCATGACAGATTTATTTAAACAAACAATAAATGAGATCACTAACAGGTTAAGTAAAAATATTATGAATATCTAATGTAGTGCATATTTTATTATTATATTATATATTATATTATATTATATTATATTATATATTATATTATATATTGTTTAAATGTAACATTACATGACATTGTTTACAAGCTGTTTTATTTGTATCTTTACACAGCTGATACACTGACTGAGCAACTGCATGAGACATTGTACATTTCAGTAAGTGTCACTGAAACATTGTACTATTTCCTTTATCGGAGTGTCTATTTACACTAAATGCAAATAGCCCGCCTTGTTGGCAGAGGCTATTTACACTAGCTCCGCCCACAAACATGTGATAGGGATGGTCAACACTATAAAAGACGGCCAACAATCGTCAGCTTCAGTGGCGTAGATGGTATAGTGTGTACCGTAGTCTTTTTGGCGCGATCGACCCTGGTTCGAATCCACCTTTTACCAAACTTTTTTTTCTCCCTTTTTAAATCTCATATCACATCGGAAAGGCATTTATTTTCAATAAAAATTAAGGAAATAATCAAAAAGTTGAAAATAAAGTATGGGGTAAGGTTAGGATAGGTGTAGGGAGGGCTTTATTGTCCCAATAAGGTGGCATCCGTTTAATAATTTGAATTAAAATTATAATTTACACTCAATACGTTATTACTGCATTCCGTTTTATAATGAACTATAATACTGAGGTGCAGATAATTGCCACTATTTGCAATAAGTAGTATAAACAGCAGAAAATCTTGCTATTTTAAAATAGTGTAAATAGACTATATCGCTATCTGCACTTAGTGTAAATAGCATATTGTTCAAAATACTATTTTCACTTAGTGTAAATAGAATCCATTGCTATTTGCACTTAGTGTAAATAGCCTCTATTGCTATTTACACTTAGTGCAAATAGCCGCTTCCTTCTTTTATTTCTTCTGATGTTCATTCAAGTTTATTTCTTGGTAAAACAAATAGTAAAGGACTGGTTCACAGCCCACATTTGCTTCAATTGATTCGGCTACAACAATGTGTCACACTAAAAAAAGTGTCAAAACAGCATTTATAATTTGAATTTCCAGATAAAATGTACAAAATTTGAAAGCTAAGAGTTTCAGATCAAAGGCAAGAAAGCACAAAAATCACTTTTAGCAATTACTGGATGGCTGGCCCACTACAAATAATGCTTAGTGATGTTTTGTTTATGCATCAGCAGAAGACTAAAACAGTATTAGTAAAACAGAAGACTAGTAAAGTATTTGTAAATAGATTACTAAAACTAATACAAAAGTATTAGTAAAACAGAAGACTAAAACAGTATTAGGTAACAGTATTGATTCTTAAATTCCAACATCGATCAAAGACAAAGATCGATGTTGGAATTTAAGAATCAATAGTGGTATGTCAAAATGAAATTAAAATCGATTCATCAATCTTATGACCACAGCCCTATATTCGATTTGATGTTGATGTGAGTGGTATCCTTAAGTAAACTTAAGTAAACTTAAGTTGTTAGCTCAGGTAAGTACTTTGGGGTTACACACAAGTTATCGCTATTGATTGCTGACTGACTACTGCAACTGATTTATAATTTGCTAAAAACAACAAAATGAATAAAATTGTTAATCAGACTTGGGCTTTAAACATAGTCTTCGCAATTGAGTGAATACTTCCAAAACTATAGTCAGTTTTCTATTTAATGGAATCAGAATGAAGATAATCTTTTTTTACTACTTCATTAGTAACAGATCTGGCTTAACGGTAAAGATATTAGATGGCTTCTCTATCACCCCCTTGAATATGGAGGTTACCTCCACAGTAACAGAACATGTATGCATGAAGGGACTACAAACGTCCAATGTGTTGGCCAAGCATTTGCATCTGCGTTGGTGTACCTGTAGCCTTAAGTTACCACATGTCTGAAAATGACATTAGAAATTCAAGAAAAAAACAACAAATTCTGCAGCTTGCTGTGCAAAGATCTGAAGAAGAGTAGGTAGAGTACAAACCCTGGGCAGAGGGGCTGACGTTGCTCAGGGCGATGGTGCAGGTAAAGAGGATCCAGAGAGAGAGAGCCATGCTGTGGACGAGCAAGGGCTGGTGGGGGGGAGTGCAGGTCAGTGGGCGCTTGAATGCGGGGCACTCCTTCCCTCACGCCCTCTCACTGAAGGAGAACCTGGTGAGAAGAGAACGAGAGAGACAAATGAGAAAGAGAGATCAATACTAATAGCAGGACCTAAATTCTTACTGTCCGTCTTTCCCTTCTGTGGCTCAATAAAAAAAAAGCAGTACTGCCCTGTAATTCTATTCAATCTGTTAAAGTGAGATGCTCACTATTGCTCGAACCAGATCTGTGCTTTCTGTCTCTGCACGGTCCATTTCATGTTGCACTTATTCAACATAATTGAGAGGAGCTCTAGGCGCACACTTGGCACCGGTCAGGTGGAGTTAGACGACTAGAGCTGAAGGGCAGCTGTTCCCTGTCCAACACAACTATTCTGTGATGTTGTTTGCCAGTAATTTAGTAGATACCAAGTAAACAAAAACAAAACATATGTGGTTATATGGATTCAAATTAATTGATCAGACTGAGGCCAGAAATATGGAAACGATTCAAGCTATGAAAGTTGTTACTTTCCAAAATGTGTCCAGGCTACTAGAGTAACTGAGTCCTCTTTTAAGATCAATTTTCTCTATTAGGTCAACTTTTGTCACAGTGGAGCAATTGTTTGCAGAGAATCTGGGTATATTATATTATATTATATTATATATTATATTATATATTGTTTAAATGTAACATTACATGACATTGTTTACAAGCTGTTTTATTTGTATCTTTACACAGCTGATACACTGACTGAGCAACTGCATGAGACATTGTACATTTCAGTAAGTGTCACTGAAACATTGTACTATTTCCTTTATCGGAGTGTCTATTTACACTAAATGCAAATAGCCCGCCTTGTTGGCAGAGGCTATTTACACTAGCTCCGCCCACAAACATGTGATAGGGATGGTCAACACTATAAAAGACGGCCAACAATCGTCAGCTTCAGTGGCGTAGATGGTATAGTGTGTACCGTAGTCTTTTTGGCGCGATCGACCCTGGTTCGAATCCACCTTTTACCAAACTTTTTTTTCTCCCTTTTTAAATCTCATATCACATCGGAAAGGCATTTATTTTCAATAAAAATTAAGGAAATAATCAAAAAGTTGAAAATAAAGTATGGGGTAGGGTTAGGATAGGTGTAGGGAGGGCTTTATTGTCCCAATAAGGTGGCATCCGTTTAATAATTTGAATTAAAATTATAATTTACACTCAATACGTTATTACTGCATACTGTTTTATAATGAACTATAATACTGAGGTGCAGATAATTGCCACTATTTGCAATAAGTAGTATAAACAGCAGAAAATCTTGCTATTTTAAAATAGTGTAAATAGACTATATCGCTATCTGCACTTAGTGTAAATAGCATATTGTTCAAAATACTATTTTCACTTAGTGTAAATAGAATCCATTGCTATTTGCACTTAGTGTAAATAGCCTCTATTGCTATTTACACTTAGTGCAAATAGCCGCTTCCTTCTTTTATTTCTTCTGATGTTCATTCAAGTTTATTTCTTGGTAAAACAAATAGTAAAGGACTGGTTCACAGCCCACATTTGCTTCAATTGATTCGGCTACAACAATGTGTCACACTAAAAAAAGTGTCAAAACAGCATTTATAATTTGAATTTCCAGATAAAATGTACAAAATTTGAAAGCTAAGAGTTTCAGATCAAAGGCAAGAAAGCACAAAAATCACTTTTAGCAATTACTGGATGGCTGGCCCACTACAAATAATGCTTAGTGATGTTTTGTTTATGCATCAGCAGAAGACTAAAACAGTATTAGTAAAACAGAAGACTAGTAAAGTATTTGTAAATAGATTACTAAAACTAATACAAAAGTATTAGTAAAACAGAAGACTAAAACAGTATTAGGTAACAGTATTGATTCTTAAATTCCAACATCGATCAAAGACAAAGATCGATGTTGGAATTTAAGAATCAATAGTGGTATGTCAAAATGAAATTAAAATCGATTCATCAATCTTATGACCACAGCCCTATATTCGATTTGATGTTGATGTGAGTGGTATCCTTAAGTAAACTTAAGTAAACTTAAGTTGTTAGCTCAGGTAAGTACTTTGGGGTTACACACAAGTTATCGCTATTGATTGCTGACTGACTACTGCAACTGATTTATAATTTGCTAAAAACAACAAAATGAATAAAATTGTTAATCAGACTTGGGCTTTAAACATAGTCTTCGCAATTGAGTGAATACTTCCAAAACTATAGTCAGTTTTCTATTTAATGGAATCAGAATGAAGATAATCTTTTTTTACTACTTCATTAGTAACAGATCTGGCTTAACGGTAAAGATATTAGATGGCTTCTCTATCACCCCCTTGAATATGGAGGTTACCTCCACAGTAACAGAACATGTATGCATGAAGGGACTACAAACGTCCAATGTGTTGGCCAAGCATTTGCATCTGCGTTGGTGTACCTGTAGCCTTAAGTTACCACATGTCTGAAAATGACATTAGAAATTCAAGAAAAAAACAACAAATTCTGCAGCTTGCTGTGCAAAGATCTGAAGAAGAGTAGGTAGAGTACAAACCCTGGGCAGAGGGGCTGACGTTGCTCAGGGCGATGGTGCAGGTAAAGAGGATCCAGAGAGAGAGAGCCATGCTGTGGACGAGCAAGGGCTGGTGGGGGGGAGTGCAGGTCAGTGGGCGCTTGAATGCGGGGCACTCCTTCCCTCACGCCCTCTCACTGAAGGAGAACCTGGTGAGAAGAGAACGAGAGAGACAAATGAGAAAGAGAGATCAATACTAATAGCAGGACCTAAATTCTTACTGTCCGTCTTTCCCTTCTGTGGCTCAATAAAAAAAAAGCAGTACTGCCCTGTAATTCTATTCAATCTGTTAAAGTGAGATGCTCACTATTGCTCGAACCAGATCTGTGCTTTCTGTCTCTGCACGGTCCATTTCATGTTGCACTTATTCAACATAATTGAGAGGAGCTCTAGGCGCACACTTGGCACCGGTCAGGTGGAGTTAGACGACTAGAGCTGAAGGGCAGCTGTTCCCTGTCCAACACAACTATTCTGTGATGTTGTTTGCCAGTAATTTAGTAGATACCAAGTAAACAAAAACAAAACATATGTGGTTATATGGATTCAAATTAATTGATCAGACTGAGGCCAGAAATATGGAAACGATTCAAGCTATGAAAGTTGTTACTTTCCAAAATGTGTCCAGGCTACTAGAGTAACTGAGTCCTCTTTTAAGATCAATTTTCTCTATTAGGTCAACTTTTGTCACAGTGGAGCAATTGTTTGCAGAGAATCTGGGTAAAACAGAAAAGCAGTACTGCTTTGTAATTCTGTCCAATCTGTCAAAGCAAGATGCCCAATGTTGCTCCGACAAGATCCATGTTTTCCGGCTCTATACAGTCCAATTTACATTGTAGTTATTCAGAATAATTGAGAGAAGCTCTAGACGCAAACTGGGGAAAAATCAGGTAGATGGCTAGAGCTGAATGCCGGCCATTTTGTTCTAGCGCTAACACGGCAACAGCTGTTCCATGTCCAACACAAATATTCTGTGTTGCTGTTTGCTGATAATTTAATATTAACCACATAAACAAAGCAAAACATCTGCTGTTCAAATATGAATTTGTATGAATTGTTCAAACTGAGGCCAAAAACATGCAAATGATACAAGTCATGTAAGCTCCATTTTACATGTTTTAGGTACAGTTGGATGGTTAAACCCTGTTGAAAAATCCAGCATAAACCAGCATGAATTCCATGCTGAAAAGTTGTTTTAGTAATGATTATATTATTAATCAATGTTATCTGAACTGAAGTTTTAAATAGAAAAGTAAAAATTCAAACCAGTGAAACGTTTCAAAAGATTTATGTTCCGTTTCAAAAGATCTATGCACAAACCAGTTTAAAAGAGCTTGTGTACATTGCAAAACTAAAACATTCAGAGATATGTTTTATGTTTGTGATCCAAATAACAGCACAATCATAAACAGCTTGTTCAATAACAGGGAGTTATGAGACGTGCTATTGCTAATAAAGAGCTCATGATAATGAAAATTGTTGTTTTTAAAGACTTTAATGCTAATCTGAGAACTTGTGTTATCAAAATCCAGCTGTCAGTCACTGATTCCAAAACGTGTACATAGTAAAAGGTATATGTCACTGCAGTCAGGAGCATGAAATATTGTAGATAATAGTGATAGCATACACTTTCAACAATCGCTAAAGTAGAATTATTTCACCCAAAGTCAAGAGCAAAGTGCCCAAATAACTATAATGGTGACATCAAACAGACCATACAAAAGAAATAAAGCCAAAATGGTTTATAATAATTGAATATTGTGATGATGTTTTTGGAGTTGTTTAAGCATGCTCTGGTGAGATATCATTGATTTCATTTACAGTTTATTTCATCTAAGGCTGTGTGGCTGTGAGTCAGTTGTACTTGTGCTGTCTTGCTTGTCTCTTCTCTTTTTTCTGTTCTTGTTGTTCCTCTTATCTTCAGTGATTATGCTTGTTAACTGCAAGTGTCATCATCACTAATGGTCCATCATCACTTGTAGACTGAATCTACTTTATTTCACTAACTGCAACCCAATAACTTATTAAAATTAATTGGATAATTGGTCTTTATTTAATTATGAACACACACTAAGAAACATGATATGTAATGTGTACATGAGATTTGTTGTGGTTTAGCTGGGATCACTCAAAAGATCCACCAGCACACCAGCATTCCAAGCTGGTCCCAGCGTGCAAAACATACCTTATGCTGGTGTCACCAGCTGTTCCCTGTCCAACACAACTATTCTGTGTTGCTGTTTGCCAATAATTTAATAAAACATCTGCTGTTTGAATTTGAACTTGAATGAAGTGTTCAGACTAAGCTTAAAACCAGGAACATGCAAACGATTCTGTGCAAACTTAGTTTCACAAATGCAATCCATTAGCAGATACTAAATTAACCAGTCCTCTTTTACAGTCAATGTTCTATTTTAGGTTGAATATTGCAATGGTGGCGCAACTGTTTGTAGAGAATCTGGGTAAAATAGATACAGTATCGAC